AGCTACGGATACCCGGGTGCAAATAGCAGTGTTAGCTACGGACACCCGGGTGCAAATAGCATTATTAGCTACGGACGCCCGGGTGCAAATAGTGAGCTACGGACACCCGGGTGCAAATAGCATTGTGAGCTACGGACACCCGGGTGCAAATAGCATTATTAGCTACGGGTACCCGGGTGCAAATAGCATTGTGAGCTACGGACACCCGGGTGCAAATAGCATTGTGAGCTACGGACACCCGGGTGCAAATAGCAGTGTTAGCTACGGACACCCGGGTGCAAATAGCATTATTAGCAGCGGATACAGCATGCTTCTTAGTTAACATTAAGAATGACTTCATTCTTAATGTTAACTAAGAAGCATGCTGTATCCGCTGCTAATAATGCTATTTGCACCCGGGTGTCCGTAGCTAACACTGCTATTTGCACCCGGGTGTCCGTAGCTAACAATGCTATTTGCACCCGGGTGTCCGTAGCTCACAATGCTATTTGCACTCGGGTGTCCGTAGCTAACAATGCTATTTGCACCCGGGTATCCGTAGCTAAAAATGCTATTCGCACCCGGGTATCCGTAGCTAACACTGCTATTTGCACCCGGGTGTCCGTAGCTAATAGTGCTATTTGCACCCGGGTGTCCGTAGCTAATACTGCTATTTGCACCCGGGTGTCCGTAGCTAATAGTGCTATTTGCACCCGGGTGTCCGTAGCTAATACTGCTATTTGCACCCGGGCGTCCGTAACTAACAATGCTATTTGCACCCGGGTGTCCGTAGCTAACAATGCTATTTGCGCCCGGGTGTCCGTAGCTAACAATGCTATTTGCACCCGGGTGTCCGTAGCTAACAATGCTATTTGCACCCGGGTGTCCGTAGCTAACAATGCTATTTGCACCCGGGTGTCCGTAGCTAACAATGCTATTTGCACCCGGGTGTCCGTAGCTAACAATACTATTTGCACCCGGGTGTCCGTAGCTAACAATGCTATTTACACCCTGGTCTCTAACAATGTTATTTGCACCCGGGCTACACATTAGATACTTTTTTTGGATGTCCTGATTACACATTATAAAATACTCTCATTTTGATGTGCTTTAGCAGAAAGAGAAAGCACAAAGGCTTTTCTGTTCACTTAATTTTACATTTATATGATGCTCTTTTAAGTAACCCTCTTATGCAGTGTGATGTACGCCTGGCTAAGTTACATGTTTGTCCTTTTTAAGTAATTTTTTTTAGGCACATGCTATTTGCACCCGGGTGTCAGTAGCTAATAATGCTATTTGTACCCGGGCTACACATACTGTTTGGGATGTATATAGGTATATGGAAATGTATATTTGATAACTTCATTCCCTTCTGCTGCTGCATCAAATTGTAATTCCCCTATGTATGGTGGATGTATAAAGGAACATCTTATCTTAAGCACTTTAGCTATTTACACTTGGATGTTGTACTGCATCTCTTCTTACCCTTTCTACGATTGCTTGGTAAGGTTACATGAACATCAGGGACAAAAAACATGGCTGTAAGGTAATAAAGGTCCCACAGACCCCCCCTGATGAAAGTGGGTTAATTCATCTGTAATTGTGTGTTAAATAAAAAAATAATTTATATTAAAACAAAAAATCAAACGGTGCTTGTTTTTATTATTTAGCTTAAAAGTCCCAATCCAATTGACCAACCATTTCAAGGACATACAAGTGGGAATGCACAGCAAAAGACAACAAGTGTCTGCATAAAGCATCCACCTGTTCTGAAGCACCTCTCATAAGTCAGAGTCTGTCTGATGTTGCATCCAGACTCCTGTTTTGAGTGATTTTGATTTTCTCTGTGAGCCTGGCCCATCCCGCTCACCATCCAGTTGCAACTAGACAATGTAGAGCTTTGTCACCTGCCCCTTACCAGTTAGTGAGCCGTCTGTTGGTTACGCAAGATTGCCCTTGACTGCATTAAGAACGCACTAGTCCTGATTACACACCATCAAATATTCTCATTTTGATGTGCTTTAGCAGAAGGAGAAAGCACAAAGGCTTGTCTGTTCACTTCATTTTACATTTATAAGATGCCGTTTAAGTAACCCTCTTATGCAGTGCGATGTACGCCTGGCTAAAAGTAACATGTTTTTCCTTTTTAAGTAATTCTTTTTTTCACAGCATGTTTTAGTGAAAATGGAGGCCCTTGAATGATGTAGTAATTTTCATCCCAAATCATAGGTGTGTTTCTATCCAACTGTTTTACTGTGAACCACTTCAAAAGAAAGATAAAGACACTCTCTACTTTCTCTCCGTCTCTATGTATATTCATCGAGTCCTGGAGCTCCAAAGAACTATTTTTTTTAATCTAGTTTGAATCTAGTCAACTTCAAAATGCACCTGAATGACAGTATTTACCTTATTCGCTTAAGAAACTGGAATTCTAGGTATTTGGGCTAACTACAGCCCCTTATCGAACAAAGTGCAGTTTTAGTGCATGCAGTTTAGTTTTATTTATAAAAGTCTGTTTTTATTATTTAGTCTATTATTCGCAATATGTCCTGACATCTAGAAAAAACAACATGACTATTCATACCAGCAGTGAATTTTAAAAGAAAAAAAACACTGTTATGGACACAGTACGCATAAATAGGAAAAACAATATATTTGAATCCAGGTTTGTCACACTTTTGACTTGACTAATGAACAGACTGTATTTCTTAAACCCTCGTAGTCAGTCTTTATATCAGCTGCTGAATTAATAATACTATGATTGGTTATGTTTCAGTCATAAGAGATATATAAGTTTGAAGTCCTAGTAAAGTTATACAAAAAACTATCCAGTTAATTATTTATAATTATTTAAACTCACATCAGATTAAATATGGAGACAGTTCACTCAAAACTTGCTGTACATAGATATATGTTAAAAGTAATAGAAATATTCATTTTGAATCCC